TGGGGTGAGTGACAAGAAGCAAGTAAATATTGGCTTTTGCTGATTATTGGGGAGTAATGGGGGCCCAATATATTTTTGTATTTATTTCTGAAATATTTAAACATTTGCCGCTGCCTTTGCACCAAGTTATTTAATAGAATTTGCACTTAAAAGCAGGAGAATGTAACATCCAAATTTACATCTCAGGGTCCCAGTTTGATGTCCCACAAATATATTGGATTGTTTAAGAAAAAGCCAAATTGTTTAGGAGTAAATCTGCCTGTTCACAGGGCCATTCTTGAAATATACATTCAATCAGGTTATTGAAAAAAATCTAAATTGCAAATTTGTTGCAAATTTTGATATTTTGCAAAATAAAATGAAAAAGGACAGACAGACACTAATCTGTTTTTCCCGGATCTAATCATGTCGTAATAAATATGTAAATTGGAAATACACGGCTGTAAATCTTGTTGTGTGTTTTCTGTTTCAGTATTTGGGATGTTCACTTCAGAATTTCATATATTTCAAACCAACTGGCAAAACTCAGCGATAAGTCGTCATCTTGGGCTCTATGGGCACGTTCAAGATTATTTAAACTGCCTGTTTTCCAAGCTGAATAAAATTTGTGTATTTTTTCCAATAATTGATTATTAGTAAATAATTTATGGCCCAGCTTCAACATATAACAACCAGCCTTAAATTACTCTTTTTAAGCAAATTTCCTTTTTTTAAAAAAGGTTGAAAACACACACTAATAAAAAGTCCCCTTTGTGTGTAGACGAGACCGATTCTGGCAATATTGTGCGCCCTCTATTGTGTATATATGTGGACAGAAAGTCGGACACACTGCATAGTGTGCACCTGGTGTCTGTTATAGTACATGTTGGAGGTGTGATATAATAATACGTATCACCCATGTGATATAGTCACTAATAGCCAATGTAATGCCATCTCTGTAACCCAGGCCTATGTACATCGTGCGTGGGCAGGGGACCTTGGAGATTCTATAAATCAGCAGAAACCGATTTGTAATAGAACACAATTCTAAAAAAAACTTCCTTTTTTAACCTTAAAGCTGTAAGGGGTGCATTGTTATAAAGACATGCTTCCACACAAGGTCTCTATAGAGCTGGAAATGGCCTCAGGCAAAGCTAATTCATTATGAGCTTTCAATGTACCTTTACAATAGGAAGAGAAGAGTTCCAGAAGGAGCCGCCTCTACAGAGGAAAAATAATTCAACCTGGGGCTCAGGGCAGATTTTAAATATTATAAAATGTTATATTGCATTCACTCACCTCAGGTTATTTGGAGAAAATAATATTGGAAGTTTATTGACTACAAGGTGAGCTGACTAATGACTAGTGACGGTGGCAAGTTTACTAGTGATGATTTGGAATATAAGGCCATTACATAATGTAAACTTGTGCTGGGAGTTCTTCATCTCTTGTCTCTGTCAGTTTTCTGTATGTCAACTACTTGCTATGAAATATAATAATATTTTATTATTGTACAGCGCTGTGGAATATGTTGGCGCTATATAAATGCTAAGAAAGATAATAACAAAAGGGCATTAATTCGCGGGACGAGAATATCATTTTGCCTCTTTATAAATCACTGGTAAGACCACACCTTGAATATGCTGTGCAATTTTGGGCACCTGTTCTAAAGAAGGATATTATGGCACTAGAAAAAGTGCAGAGGCGGGCTACAAAATTAATAAAAGGAATGGAACACATCAGCTATGAAGAAAGGTTAACAAATTTAAACCTATTTAATTTAGAAAAACGTCGCCTGAGAAGGGATATGATAACATTATACAAATATATTCGGGGCCAATACAAACCATTGTGTGGAAATCTATTCACAAACCGGACTTTACATAGGACACGAGGCCATGCGTTAAGACTGGAAGAAAGAAGATTTCGTCTAAGGCAAAGGAAAAGGTTTTGTTACTGTAAGAACAATAAGGATATGGAATTCTCTACCTGAAGTCCATACAGATTCCATACAGATGTTCAAACAGCAATTAGATGCATACTTGCAAAAACAGAATATTCAAGGATATAATTTTTCAATGTCTACAAATGCTCGCAGTTTAGGGAATAAGATCCATGAACTTGTGGCAATAATGGCAACTGATAATGTAGATGTAGTTGCTGTTACTGAGACATGGTATAATGAGAAAAATGGCGTACTGAGATTGTATTGCGAGAATCATGGGATGCGTTCAGCCACGTACGTAGCGTACTGAGATTGTATTGCCAGAATCATGGGATGCGTTCAGCCACGTACGTAGCGTACTGAGATTGTATTGCCAGAATCATGGGATGCGTTCAGCCATGTACGTAGCGTACTGAGATTGTATTGCGAGAATCATGAGATGCGTTCAGCCACGTGTGCAGCGTACCGAGATTGTACCACGAGAATCATGGGATGCGTTCAGCCACATACGTAGCATACTAAGATTGTATTGCGAGAATCATGGCATGCGTTCAGCCACCTGTGCAGCGTACTGAGATTGTAACCCAAGAGTCATCGGATGCGTTCAGCCACGTGCATAGTGTACTGAGATTGTATTGCGAGAATCATGGGATGCGTTCAGCCACGTACATAGCGTACTGAGATTGTACCATGAGAATCATGGGATGCGTTCAGCCACGTGCGTAGCGTACTGAGATTGTATTGCGATCAATGTGATACTTGCTTAGCTGTGTGAATAGAATCAGAATTTTCATCACAATGTTATAATACACATATCTCAATACATCTGTGTGAAGGAACTCTCCCAGATATAAAGTATATTAATGCTCTATGTATAATTTAATCATTATGTTTGAGCGATGCATGGGTAATGTTACATAGTTACTCAGTAATATGGGCTGAAAAAAAAACGCTGTCTTGGTGCCGCCATGTAATCATTAATGCTGCCATGTAAACATTGGTGCCGCCATGTAAACATTGGTGCTGCCTCGTAAACATTGGTGCCGTCCCGTAAATATTAGTGCTGCCATGTAAACATTGGTGCTGCCTCATAAATATTGGTGCCGCCATGTAATCATTAACCCCTTAACGCAGTTACAGCGTTCTATGCCATCCCGCATTAAAAGGGCTTTAAAGCAGTTGTGACTGCATAGAACGCCATAACGGCTTTGAGCCCCTGGAGGTCCGGTGTACTTACCTCTGCCGCAATCCTCTTCTGGAGGGCTGCCTGACCGCCCAGGCAGCCCTCCCCCGGCAAATGAGGCACCCGGGGGTTATGTGATCGCTCTCAAAGAGCAATCACATGGTCCCCTATAGCTGGCTGTGGATGTGCCAGCAGGGGGACTGTCTGAAATGTCAGACAGTCCCCTTGCTGGTGGGAAATGAAGAAAATTATTATTAGACATGCTTTAAAATAAAATAAATGTATTTTTATATATATATATTATATATATATATATATATATATATATTATATATATATATATAATATATGTGTATATATTATATATATAATATATGTACATATTATATATATATGAAACGTCATACAAAGTGTATTTTAATATTAATATAAGTATATATATTAGTATTAAAATACACTTAGAATGACGTTACATATATATAATATGTATATACATTATATATATAATAGATATATACACATATATTATATATATATATATATATACGTATAATTACAATAATAAATAAATAAAATAATAAAATAAATAAATAAAATATTGAAACAAAATTTAACATAAATTATATATTCATACGTAATTTCATTCTAACTGTATTTTGTTATTAATATATATATATATATTGGTAACAAAATACACTTAGAATGACATTCTATATATATCTATCTATATATAAAATACAAATAACCGCAAATATATATACATATAGATAAATACATATAATTACATAAAAGATTACATTAGTATGCACGTAGAATTTAAATACCTATAAATGCATATATATTAAAATTCTACGTGTATATTTAAGTAATCTTTTAACATAATTATGTGATTTGATTAATTAAAATTTGATTGACATGCCTGACAACACAGGGAGAAAGTGCAGAGAATTTAATTCGCAAGCACTATATTTGACCCTGTAACTCTCCAAGACACCAAAAAACCTGTACATAGGGGGTACTGTTTTACTCGGAGACTTCGCTGAACTCAAATATTAGTGTTTCAAACTGGTAAATTGTATTACAACGATGATATTTTAAGTAAAAGTGACGTTTTTTGCATTTTTTACAAACGAACGCACTTTTATGGACTATATTATTGTTGTAATATGTTTTACTGTTTTAAAACACTAATATTTGTGTTTAGTGAAGTCCCCCGAGAATAACAGTACCCCCATGTACAGGTTTTATGGTGTTTTGGAAAGTTAGAGAGTCACATATAAGGCTTGCATTTCATTTTTTTGACATTGAAATTTGCCAGATTGGTTATGTTGCCTTTGAGAGCGTATGGTAGCCCAGGAATAAGAATTACCCCCATGATGGCATACCATTTGCAAAAGTAGACAACCCAAGGTATTGCAAGTGGGGTATGTCCAGACTTTCTTAGTAGCCACTTAGTCACAAACACTGGCCAAATATTAGTTTTTTGCTTTTTTCACACTATAACAAATATGAATGTAACTTTGGCCAGTGTTTGTGACTAAGTGGCTACTAACAAAGACTAAACATACCCCACTTTCAATACCTTGGGTTGTCTACTTTTTCAAATGGTATGCCATTATGGGGGTAATTCTCATTCCTGGGCTATCACACCGTCTCAAAGGTAACATTACTAATCTGGCAAATTTCAATGTGAAAATGGAACATTCTATATTTGACCCTGTAACTTTCCAAAACAAAATAAAACCTGTTAATGGGGGGTACTGTTGTACTCGTCAGACATTGCTGATGACAAATATGTGCATTTTTTTGCTGTAAAACCTAACAGTATTATGACATTCACAGCTAAAATGTCAGACGGAAATACAAATTTTTAAAAGAAATCTTATTTTCTCAATTTTTTAAATTTTTTTACTCATAATAAATTATGTTCCATATATGAATCGTTAATGATAAATTAAAGCCCTGTTTCTCCTGAACAAAATGATATATAATAAGTGTGGGTGCACTTAATGTGACAGCGGTGAATTACGGGTGAACAGACATATAGCGCAAATTCCAGTTTTTGTTTACGTTTTGTTTTGATCAGAACGTGCACTATTGACTCCGTCCTGAAGGGGTTAATGCTGCCATGTAAACATTGGTGCTGCTATGTAAACATTGGTGCCGCCATGTAAACATTGATGCTGCCTCGTAAACATTGGTGCCGCCATATAATCATTAATGCTGCCATGTAAATATTGGTGCCGCCATGTAAACATTGTGCTGCCATGTAAATATTCGTGCCGCCATGTAAACATCGGTGTCGCATTGTAAACATTGGTGCCGCCTCGTAAACATTGGTGCCGCCTCGTAAACGTTGGTGCCGCCATGTAATCATTAATTCTGCCATATAAACATTGGTGCTGCCATGTAATCATTAATGCTGCCATATAAACATTGGTGCCGCCATGTAATCATTAATGCTGCCATATAAACATTGGTGCTGCCATGTAAACATTGGTGCTGCCATGTAAACATTTGTGCCGTCATGTAAACATTTGTGCTGCCATGTAAACATTTGTGCCGCCATGTAAACATTGGTGCTGCCATGTAAACATTTGTGCCGCCATGTAAACATTGGTGCTGCCATGTAAACATTTGTGCCGCCATGTAAACATTGGTGCTGCTTTGTAAACATTGGTGCTGCCATGTTTAACATTAAAGGACTGACGGGGGACAGTGAGATGAACTGGTCTGGATGCCCTTAGTGTCTATAGAACAGGTTCCCAGATAGCTGTTTGTTCTGCTCCGGTATATTTGGTGTCCTCTCTAAGACAATTTTTCACCTGGCAAAAATAAAGGTCATTATATAAGAAATTAAATAATAAATAAATTAATTTTAAAAAGATCTCCCTTTTCTGACTGAACTGGGAATATATTCTAATTTAAATCTAATGTTCACAAGGCTTGTAAAAGCTGCCCAGCCATGGAATCAGAGGATGAATGAGTAGCTGAACGTTATTAGTACATGCAGCGGTAACAGTAGCTGAGGTCTTTTTGTTCCACAATTTCTCTCCTAATCCTTACTTTATCCAGCTCTGCATTTACAGAATTCTCACATGACATCAGGGCAAGTTAGATGAATTAGCCCCCCAGCCAAGAAAGCAGACTGTCTCTGTGTCACCCCAGGGCTTCCTGCAGTCTGTATGTCTGTGACCATTCAGTCTGTGTTCCCCATAGAGTATTACATGATAGATGGGCTACCCCAACAACAGAGTAGCTCCTATGCAGCCCTTAAGGAAATAAAAGGTTCAGCCTAGAAATGGAATGAAATGCCACATCCCCATATTACATCGCACCCCCCTTTAAATCTTTACCCATTGGAGCGAACACTATGTATTGTATTAAATGTAAAATGCAAAAAGAAAAGTGGATCAGCGCTAGATAACTGAAGAAAGAAGAGAATTAATGGCAGCACCAAATGATAGGATGAATTATAATCTGTAAATAAAATAGAAGGGTCTGTCTGCTCTAAATATTGTAAGTACGGTTTTAATTATCACCTTCACACTTACTATACGGAGAGCACTATTGTGGTTTTTTTTGTTATATGGTCCGTATTGTTACTATCCTGGTTCGGGAGATCACATAAGAGATATCCTACAAGTAAGGATCTAAACAATGTGCGCTGAATACACCGGAGCTGGTTTTAGCTCCACGCTATGTGAGTAGGCAATTACATACCTATGTGTTGTACACATCCCGTTTGAGCTGACATATTGCACTATTGGATCCTTTGTTTCTGTTTATATATACACCTTGATTCAAGATACAACAAGATCTCTCTGATAAGGAAGAATATTAATTTGATACTAATTTTATCACATTCGGTATATAGCATTTTATATTTTTGACTGTACCATTGCTCACTATTTATTTGATTTATATGTTTCCTATTATATGTATTGTCTGTAGTCAGTTATAATTTATTATATCATTTGGCGCAACCTGTTTCCAGTTCTTTCTGCTACGAACTATCTATTAAATGTTTTAGGAGTCTCCAAGGAAATCCCATAATAAGAATGTTTGATGCCCAGCCGCTTCAAGCTACAACTCCCATCATGGTCAGCCAGCCAAAGCTGTAAGCATTTAGCTATGCCCTGCTAGCATGGACATGCTGATAAAGCCTGATGGGAGTCACTGGATTTATCCTTATTATATACAGTATGTGAAACTGGAGATCTAAAATGAAACCTTTATATTTACATGTTCCATCCAATATCTTTTTACTGCCACGATTATCATTTAATGAAGGGTTGTGAGCAATGGGACGTTTCAAGACATTGTGTCAGCAATTAATACTATGTAACAGTGATCTAACCTGCAGGTCTCTGGGGACCAGTCCAGCTCAGTATGGATGTTCTATGAATGTTCTAGATCCATATTACAAAGCCAGAGTGGCTGCTATATGATGCAGTATTATGTAATGTGCCCAGATCATTACAATCTCTGCTTCTAAGCCAAGGGCTCTTTAAATCTGACACCAGTGATCACAAGCAATGCTCTGTAACACCATAATAACTATAGCCAGGCAGTCCTGCAGAGAGGATCACTGTAAATATTAACCTATGCTCTGCTGGGTGTCTGTGTTTATATAGGGGGATATTTTGGTGAGTTGGAGGCTTTTTTGACAAATCAGGAATTTTAACCTGAAATGCTGAACATGTTTAGTGAATAGAGACCTAATTTAGGGCAGACTGGCCAGTCTCCAGTAATTGGGAATACAGTAACCCTGTGAGTGGCAGGTGTGAACCTCACACATGGCAGAGCAATGAGCTGTGCACCTCATGGAACGCAAAGGGTTAAATTAGTGAATACCAGAAGGATAAAAAAATTAAAAATGGTATGTGAGCGCTCCAAATATAAAGTAATGACCACTAAAACACTGTACCCCAATACAGCAGTTTATAAAGGGAAGCAAAACTAGATCTGGTAGCAACACAGGGATAATATGAATTAGTAAGCATCAATATTGTTATGTGCCAAATATATAAAACATCATTTATTGAACATAAAAAAGAATAATAACATCAAATCAATATTACAACAATAAAATATATTGCCTAAATAAAAAAGCAACAAATGTCCATAGCAGAGGTTTAAAAAAATAATAAACACAGTGTGGGGCCCCTTACACTGATGGAATGGCCACTGGAAAACAATGTGCACATATAAAATAATAATAAGAGTTAAAAACAATACCCAGACTCATTCACTATCCCTGCCGGCTGCCGGGGGGAGCTCGTAAACTAAGGGGGTTGCAATGGGAATATCCCTGAGTAAAGAATATATATATACTCTGGGGGTCAGCCAGAGCAACTTACCTGTTCCTAAACCTGGCTTTCAAAGGTCTAGAAGTCTGACCTACATATATTAAGCCCCAGGTGCACTTAAGTAAATACACCACAAATGTAGTATTACAAGTTATTCTAGTGAAAACTCTCATTATTGGACGATGAGCAAAAGTCCAACTTCCCATAGCATATATATTGGCATGTTAGGCACCGTATAGCACCACACTTAAAGATCCCCACTCCATATAACATGGACATATTGGGGGATTCAATAGGCGTAAATTTGGAGGGAGCTAGCAAGTTCTTCAAATTTCTGTTTTTCTGGAAAGTCACCCTAGGTAATTCAGGAATACTAAATTTGAGCCAGGGATCTAACCGGAGAATCGACCAATGCTTGCGTAATATAGAGATGATCTGGTTATAGACCCTATTGAAGGTTGTAGTAAAACTGGGACCTTTATTCTGAACAACATCTCTAGTACTGATGTTAAAATTGTCCCGAGGTGTAAATCTTCTTCTTGGGGGATGATTTTCCAATAATGATAGATCACATGGCAGGATAACTTCTGTTGGTTAACCATCGATGTGGCAGCTCTTTATTCCAACATTGATCATTGTTTAGGTTTGAAAGTAGTCAAGCATTTTCTTTTGGAGGACCCTCTTCTTCCATTGTCCCAAGTTGAAGCTATTGTAGAGAGTATATCATTCATTTTGACCCATAATTATTTTTGTTTTAATGGTCAATTTTACCTACAGGTAAAAGGGACGGCAATGGTGGCTAGTTTTGCCCCAGCATATGCGAACATCTTCATGGGTCTGTGGGAATCCATTCACATTTTCAACAATCCAACTTGGAGAGGACATCTCAAATTCTATAAGCGTTTCATAGATGACATCCTGATTATTTGGGAATGTGATTTAAATGAAGCTGATGAACTTGTCCAATGCCTTAATGAATGGGGGTTATCCTTTATGAGCAATACGAACAAAACCTCTATTGAATTCCTTGACCTGGTTTTATGTGGCAGGCCAGGTTATGTCCTTACCAAAAGAAACAGGTGGACGTTAATGGATTCTTGCATTCGACTAGCGGCCATCACCCTACATGGATAAATAATATCCCATTTGGTCAATTCACGAGATTGCGCCGAAACTGTTCCTTCTTGGAGAACTTTGAAGAGGAATCTTTGGACCTATGCAAGCGCTTTCTAGACAAGTATATGACCCGAACATCATCTGTCGGGCCTACCATAAGGCTAGAGACCTCAACAAAAGCTCCTTAATTGATCCCCATTCTAAGGATGATGCACCAGATTTACCATTGCCTCCATGAGCTAAACATATGAAGATTCTATCGTTATTGGAAAATCATCCCCCAAGAAGAAAATTTACACCTCGGGACAATTTTAACATCATTACTAGAGATGTTGTTCAGAATAAAGGTCCTATTTTTACTACAACCTTCAATAGGGTCTATAACCAGATCATCTCTATATTACGCAAGCATTGGTCGATTCTCAGGTTAGATCCCTGGCTCAAATTTAGTATTCCTGAATTACCTAGGGTGACTTTCCAGAAAAACAGAAATTTGAAGAACTTGCTAGCTCCCTCCAAATTTACGCCTATTGAATCCCCCAATACGTCCATGTTATATGGAGTGGGGATCTTTAAGTGTGGTGCTATACGGTGCCTTACATGCCAATATATATGCTATGGGAAGTAGGACTTTTGCTCATCGTCCAATAATGAGAGTTTTCAGGTACCCACTAGA